CCTTAATGATTCTATGATTCTAAGAAAGAAGTATCTAAGCTATTACATAGAATGCATAATATTCTGACCACTGTCTGTATGGGCATGCTTTAGGTCCCACTAAATTGCGGAGCAATGTTACCGGCTTCCAGTTTTTATCAGGTATCAGAAGAGTAAAGCTGACCAATTTTTTCAGATTTTACTATGCTTCACTTGATGCTGACCACAGATCTAGTAAGGCTATAATCAGTTTTCTGTTCTAAGTTCATGATCGTTACCTGGAAAGGCTTTCAACTAGTATACAAGTCACAACTGCATTCACAAATCCATATTTAAAAAAATAAACCCATATTTCAGTATAATTCAGGCATAGGCAAAAAAAAAAAATACTGTAAATACAGAGTAAATAGTTGTCCCTTTAAGTCAGGAGTGCTGTGGAATATACTTGCTTGTTCTTTTCCTCCAGCTCCTGTTTCATAGTTTATACTCCATAGATAATTTTTGTCTTCAGAAATGGGGTTTTTTTGCCTTGCTGTGTAGTAGTGTTTTTTCTGTTTCACTTTGTGTCAGTTTTGTTAACATCTTTAATTTTCTAGGTACGGAATCCGCCCTGAAAATGTGATTATATATGGCCAGAGTATAGGAACAGTACCATCTGTGGATCTTGCTGCTAGGTATGAGAGTGCTGCTGTAGTTCTTCATTCTCCACTGACCTCAGGAATGCGAGTAGCTTTTCCTGATACAAAGAAGACCTATTGCTTTGATGCATTCCCGAAGTAAGTTGTAGGATATTTTTTTATTCTGCTTGATTTTTTTCTCTATTACAGAAGTTTTAGACTAGGGAAAAAAGTAATATGGCAAATTCTCAGAAATTTCTTTCAAAGGTTGTAAAAAACAGCTGGAGAAAAAACAGAGTGAATAACAATGAGGAACACTTGGTTTGAAGGAGTTTACAGAACTTTGTAAATTTTCTAGGTTTTTCACATCTCTGATTATTTCAGTGGGTATCTGTTAAAGAAGTGGTTAGTTTCCCTATACATAACCACCTAATATCACTAATTCTAACAAGCAGTTCTAGTCCAGTGAATTGTTATTCTGGGTAACAGTGAGTAAAGTCTCTTCCATATGTTTCTGTAAGTAACAAGGACTGGAAAACTAAATAGACCTTAACTGAAGAAAATTTCAGTCTTGTGTTTCAGAACTATGCCACTAGTTGGTCATTACAAACTGGTACACTTGTCTCAAAGAATTACTTGGATTTTGAGCATCTAACTTCAAAAACTTTTTTTCCCCATAGATGACCAAACTTGAAGTGCTAAAATTCTTTCATTTCTGACAAGCACTTGTTTACTAAAGAGCCCTGAAGTAGTATTTTCATCAGTCTCATGACTTTGATTTTTTGAAGTGAATATGGTAATGAATACCACTTTTAGATGGATTGCTCTGTTATTCAATCCTAACAGTTTCCAGCAGGGTTTTTCCTTTGTGTGGTTTTACATGTGCTACTGTAATGGCTTCCAGGGTGTTCATAAAATCTGATTTTCTAGTAATTTAAACTACTTCAGAATTAAATCATTAAAACTACAATGTGTACTTAAAAAAGTGAAATTAACAGTCTGGTACTTCAAAAAGATTTAATAAAGCTCATTGTGTTCATAGATATAATCTTTTTCTTACAGCATTGACAAAATTTCTAAAATAACATCTCCTGTGTTAATAATCCATGGGACTGAAGATGAAGTAATTGACTTTTCACACGGCCTAGCATTATTTGAGCGTTGCCAGAGACCTGTAGAACCACTGTGGGTAGAAGGAGCAGGCCATAATGATGTGGAACTCTATGGACAGTACCTTGAAAGATTAAAACAGTTTGTGTCACAGGAACTGATGAACTTGTAACTTTCTTTGTATATTTGTATGCTTTTTCATTTCACTGCAGAACTGCATGCCTTGATAAATACATAACATAAAACCTGAAGGTTGTGTTTTCAAATCATCGTGGTTGCCTTCATTAAATGTACAGGTAATGATTTGTAAACATAATTAATGAAGGTTTTAATGCCAGTATTATAAACTGGAATTACGTGATCATGCAGTCAAGTTTGGCAGTTCATATTAATTTGTGTGAGGTTTTTTCTTCTCAGATGTAAAAAAAAAATAAATCACAAGGAGTACTGTACAAAATTTTAATTATATAAAATCAAATGCTGTAAAAGTGTTGCCAAATGCTTTAGCATATCAAAAACCAATTTATAAATATTTTTTAAACATCTCAAAATGTACTGTGACTTACTCTGTTGCACAGGTGTAAATTAAAAACCAGACTTCTAAGCAGTTGTTCTGTAAAAATGTAATAGCCATGAAATTTGAGCAAATATTGAGTATGTAATAAGAATAGACAGTCACTGGAAATGGCCCATGCCCTGTTATAGGGAGAGGGTGTCAAAATAGATCTCTTTTTTTCCTTATGTTTCATATCTTTGGTGCTTAGTTTTACTTCAGTTGTTTTGTTCTTGTGTTGTCCTTTGCCTTTCAGGTTAAACAAATTTACCCACTCATTTTCTCAGCAGTCCTAATCTTGCCAAAATAATGCTGCAAATTATCATTGTTGTGACATAAATATCATGGTTGCTACTGAGGCCACTAAGTACTACTTTGAAACCATTAAGACTTTTAGAAGGCTTTGTGGACAATGTAGTTTTAAACATTAATTGCATAGAAATGCAATGTTTCATTAGAAAGAACCTGGAAGTTTATCCAACATTGTAATAAACAATTTGCAAGTTTGCAGTTGTCTGATTAGGCTTACTTTTGGATGTTTAGTGTAAAAGCTTATTGTTTTTTGAGTATTGTATGGAAAATTTACTAATTGCACCTGGATGGGGTGGGGGAGGGACAAGAAGAGGATGTTGACATTTTCTATTAACTCGTAGTAACATAAACTTTGTAAATTGCCTTTCCCTTAAATGCATTTTTCTTGAATAAAACTATGAAAAATAAACAATTATATGTAGCCTATTTGTAAACAAAGTAATATTCCAACAATACACACTGTGCTTCTAATTTGAAGGCCTGATGTAGTTTAATTGTTCTCCTTGGTTTTTGTGATTGAGATTATTGTGTACTTAAATGTAGCTTCAAGTATTGTGAAAATTTTGGTTAAGATGTGTTGATTAACAGTAAACAATATTCCACGCACTTGCTGTTCTTCCTTTTTTTTTTACAAGAAATAGCAACAGTTGCTTGCGATATCAAAATAATAAGCAATTTCCCATTTATTCTACGAAATCTGAGAACTAAAGCAGTAACTCATTATTATGAATTGTCAGCACATTTCTTTACCAGCACCTACTGTTCTGATCCCCTCCCACCCCCATCTTACTTCTTTCTGCCATTCAGCATACAGGTTTTCTGCTGCAGAACTACTTAATCAATGTTCTTCTGTAATGAATTCAAATTTAGCTTTCTTTGAAATAGTGAGTGACATCTGGTCTTGTGCTCCTTAGTTTGTTAATTGAATAGGAAGATATCTGAACTTGTTCTCAAGCAACTGGTCTCTTCTTTTTGATCAAGTATGCTTCAATGTGTTCTGAACTTCAGATTACTATTGAGGCACAATAATATTAAAGATTTTTCATCCTAATCCAAGATTTTGCAATTGAGAGTGTGCTTAAATAGCTACATAATTCAGCTTTATTACATCATACTGTATACACAGTTTGATTTCATTTTCTTACTACCTTCCAGCCACTATCTCTGATTTAGATAGAAATCATTACTGTGGAGTGTTTAAGTGCTTTCTTTGTGATGAATGAAGTCCATTTTGAGAGTCCTTTTTAGAAATTCACAAAGAATGTAGAGCTGCAAAGATAAGTGATACAGGCTGATAGTCCTGCAAATTGCAGGCAAATGATCAAGTGTCATCACAAGAACTATCTGATTGTGCTAGGGAATATTATGGCACCCTGTAATTGAAAAGAGAAAAGGTAGCATAGCAGCTTTGATGCTTTTGTTTCTGTGTTTTGTTGAAGCAGAACAAAAGGCCTGACTAACAATGTTTTGTCTCCAGTAGTTGCAGCTGTGCTGGATTATGCTGGTGAGTAATGGTTCTGGTCTCTTTGAGACTATTTATGCATGGTTTATTATTGCTACTTTGTTCTGATTTGTATTTTAGAGTCATAGAATCATAGAATGGCCTGGGATGAAAAGGACCTTAAAGATCATTTAGTTCCAACCCCCCTGCTGTGGGCAGGGTTGCCAACCACTAGAGCAGGCTGCCCAGGGCCCTATCCAGCCTGGCCTTGAATGCCTCCAGGGATGGGGCATCCACAGCTTCTCTGGGCAACCTGTCCCAGTGTGCCACCACCCTTTGTGTGAAAAACTTTCCTAATCTCTAACCTGAACCTCCCCTGTCTTAGTTTAAAACCGTTCCCCCTTGTCCTATCACTATCCACCCTCGCAAACAGGCATTCCCCCTCCTGTTTATATGCTCCTTTCAAGTACTGGAAGGCCGCAATGAGGTCTCCCCAGAGCCTTCTCTTCTCCAAGCTAAACAAGCCCAGTTCCCTCAGCCTTTCTTCACAGGAGAGGTGCTCCAGCCCTCTGATCATCTTTGTGGCCCTCCTCTGGACCCGTTCCAAGAGCTCCATGTCCTTCTTGTGCTGGGGACCCCAGGCCTGGACACAGTGCTCCAGATGGGGTCTCACAAGAGCAGAGTAGAGGAGGACAATCACCTCCCTCTCCCTGCTGGCCACCCCTTTTTTAATGCAGCCCAGGACATAGTTGGCCTTCCGGGCTGCAGGCACACACTGCTGGCTCATGTCCAGCTTCTCGTCCACCAGGACACCCAAGTCCTTCTCCACATGGCTGCGCTCAGAGTTCTTCTCCCAGTCTATACAAGTATACAACACCTTGCACTTGGCCTTGTTAAACCTCCCGAGGTTCTCATGGGCTCACTTCTCCAGCCTGTCCAGGTCCCTCTGGATGGTATTTTACACCTAGATTTTTCAGTCAAGTTATCTACTGAAGGAATTGAAATTGTTTTTAGGCACAGCCTGGCTTGTATTGAGAATTGTATTATGGCAACAAACTTGTTATCGACATAAAGCAACTCTGAGCTATTGCAGCTAGAAGGAAAACATTTGACGTGGTGCTTGTCTTGTTCTTAAACCATCGTTTTGGTGAAATTAACAATGAGCTGTTGTTTTATCTTATAAATGCAATTGTTTCATGATAAATGACAGTTGATTCAGCATTCATTAACAAGACAAAGTCTGTATTTTAGGGAAAAAGAAAAGAGCATTTTGTGAATCTTGTGGTCTTATTCCTTTTTTTCTTTATGAGACAAATATTTTACAGTAACACTTTCAGTTCTGGAAACCTTGGCAAGTCAACTTTAAAAACAACTTCATTTATGTAAAATATGAGATTACCTTTTAAAGGTGGGGTCTTTTGGGGCATGTTTTGCTGTCTCGCATTCCCAGATCCCCATTTAAAAAAAGACTAAAAACCTCCCTTATCTTCACTATCTGCTTGTGGCAGCAAAGAATTCTAGTGTACGTGCAGTTAGCTGTCCTTATTGACTGATTTCAGACTTGCTTTCCTCTTTAAGCTTTTTTTTTTTTATGGGGAGAAGAGGGGGATTTATGTTTACTTTTGGTCTCTTCTAATTGGATGACGTTATGGAGCAGGTCTGTCTGCTTGGTACCTCTCACTGGGATATTCCAGGTTCTACAGGTACAAATTTTTCTCACTGTCCAGTAGGCATTGTTAATATCTTCAAGACAAAAATAAGGAAAAGCATCCTGTCTAAGTAGGGGGCTGATCACTTGAAAGCAGCTTTGCATAAAAGGAGTTGGGGACCCTGCTGGGCAACAAGCTGACCATGAGCCAGCAATGCACTCTTACAGCAAAGAAAACCAACAGTGTCCTGGGCTGCATTAGGCAGAGACTGGCTAGCAGGTCAAGGGACCTGATCCATCCCCTTCAGTTGGCACTGTGAGTGGCGACACATTTGGATTGCTGGGTCCAGCTCTAGGCTCTACAGTGTAAGGAAGATATGGATGTACTGGAGCAAGTCCAGTGCAGGGCCAGAGATATGACTGAAGGACTGGAGTATGTGTCACAGGAAGAGAGGCTGAGAGAGCTGGGGCTGCTGAGCCTGGAGAAGAAGAGGGTTGGGAGGATCTTAACTGTGTGTTTGAATATCTGATGGAAGGACGAAGTGGAGAGAGCTAGACTTCCCCAGTACTGCCCACTGAGAGGACAAGAGGCAGTGAACACACACTGAAAACCAGGAACTCCAATCTGAATACCAAAAAATGTCTTTTCTGTGAGGGTGATCAAACACTGGAATGAACTGTGGAGGTCCCATCTCTACAGATATTCAGAACCCATCTGAGCACAGCCTTGGGGAACCTGCTGTACCTGACCCTGCTCTAAGCAAAGGAGTTAGACTAGATTATCTCAAGGGGTCCCTTTCAACCTCAGCCATTCTGTGGTTTTTTGAAATCTGGCATGCAAATCCTGTAGATGGTTGGCACTACACATATTTGTGTGCCATCATGTACACTGGCTAAGAAGTGTGTTATTTGGCAATAAAGAAGTTAAACTTGTAACTCAGGGAATATGTGAACAGGAAGATAGTGCTGGATGATCTGTCCTTCAAGACAATGGGAGCAATTTACCCCTTAGCAGGAATTATAGGAAATGCTGTCCTTGAAGTGTGAACAAGCCCTGAAACCTTATTATAATGCAAAGACCTGTATTGGGTCTGGCTGAGATGGAGTTAATTTCCCTATAGCAGCCCTCATAGTGCTGTGTGTTGCACTGGTACCTAGAAAGGTGTTGATAACACCAGTGTTTTGGCTACTGCTGAGCAGTGCTCACACAGCATCAAGGCTGTCCCCCTAATCCCCTCCACCCCTCAAAGTAGGCTCAGGGCCCCAGGGATGGGCAGGATCTTCGGAGGGGACAGACCCAGGGCAGATGCCCCAATCTGACCACGGGGATATTATACCATATGACATCAGCTCAGCAATAAAAGCTAAGGGAAGCGAGGAGGAGGAAGGCATTGATTGTTATGTTTGTCTCTGGGAGCAACTGCTACACGTATTGAAGCCCTGCTTCTTGGGAAGTGGCCGGACATTGCTTGCTGATGGGAAGCAGAGAATAAAATCTTTGTTTTCCTTTGGCTTTAGCACACGGCCTTGACTTTTGCTTTAATTAAACTGCTTTTATCTTGACCCACAAGTTTTCCATCTTACTCTCCCCCCCTCATTTTGCTGAAGGGGGAGTGATAGAGGGGACTGTCCTTTTTGGGGCCCAGTGTGGGGCAAGACAGTCAGTTCTTGCATTAAGCGTGCTGTAGTTATAATAGAACAAGCTCTGGTGTGGGTCATAGAGTTTGTTGGCTGCACTGCTTAT